CTAGTGATGGGTTTGCTTTTCATAGAATTATTAACTATTAGAATTTCTTCTTTTATTATGTCTCTATATGTTTTATTTATTTATTTATTTATTTATTTTATTTTTTTTTTTGTCTTTTGTCTTTTTCCGTGTCCGGCAACGGAACGCAATCCTCAGTGTTGCCCCCGTACCGGACCGGGGACCGGTTACGGGATCGCAACCCTCGGTGTTGCTCCCGCGCCTCGCTCAGCCAGTGAGCGGGAACCGGTCTGTATGTGGGATCCAAACCCTCGGGCGGGAGCGCCGCCGCGCTTCCCAAGCGGCGCACTATCCAGTGCGCCACCGGGCCGGCCCCGTGTTTTATTTATTTTTAAATTTGCATACCAAACTTTTTTCTTTATTATTTATTTGGAAGACTAATTTAAATTAAAATGTTAGTAATTTGTCTACTTTATTTTCCACAGTTTGTTTTTACTTTTATTTTTATAGTACTTATAGCTACATGTAAAGATATATGCACTATCTTTACACATCTATGTATACATAAGCATACATATAAAAATTATTTATATTTTAATATTTTGGATACCCTTTCAATTGTTTCCTCCATTATATGTGAATATATGACATGCTTAGAATGAATTTTCCAACTTAATGTCTGCCTAAATATTCTTATACTTTCTTTCAGTTTGTTTCTCTTCTTAACACTTAAATATCCATTTAAAACTTCATTGAGTTCATGTTGAGAGGCAGAGACCTACATTTGTCCAAGTTTTATCTGTTGTGCAAACATTGTTGGTTGAAGAATTCGCCCTGTCCACAATGATGTGTTATATTTCTTCAGTAGTCCCCTCATAGGTTACTTTAAGCTCACTCTGGCCCTTTCATTTCATTCTCTACATTGAAGCACTTGTGAACATTTGAAAATAGAAACATGATGAAGACACTGCTTAAAATTTTTGGTGGTTTTCTGTTACTCATATTATAAAAAGCAAAGTTCTTACAGATACATGATTTTGTCATTTTTAGCCTATCACTTTAACCTGATTTCAATTGTCCATTCTCTTGCACTATTCCTGTCTCAGGGAGTTTGTCCATGTCATTTCTGAAGCCTGGACTACTCTACTTACTCTTGAGTAATAACTCCCTGTTGAACAGAGTCTGAGCAATCTCCTCTGTGATGAGTTGCTTGTTCTCACAGTTCTCTGTTCGGATCCTTCAAATCAATCATCAGAGTTTTCTCTGCATTTAAAGCTATTTAACACCCAGAGCCACCATTAGCCTTTAACTTCCTGAAGCCAGAATCAATATTTTACATCAGAACTTGACATAGTACCTTGTATATAGAAGCTATTCATTATAAATATTAGTTAAATGGATAAACAAATGCATGAATAAAAAAAAATTATGGATGTTAATGCAGATTATTTTTTAATACCAGTTTAAACAAAAATGAAGTCTCTTTTTCTCAATACTTATCTGAGTAATTCCTTTGTTATTATTTTGCTTGTGATCTTTTAGGTAACAACAGACAAAACCAATGTTTGAAGCAAATTACTCTGAAGTGTCTGAATTTGTGTTCCTGGGAATTTCTACCTACAGGCCAGTGCAGTATTTCCTCCTTGCCTTCTCTATAGTGATTTATTTAACAATTATTCTAGGGAACCTCCTAGTTGCGTTTACAGTGATCTTTGACCCTCATTTACATTCCCCCATGTACTTCCTTTTAGCCAACCTTTCATTTATTGATTTGTGTTTTTCTACCTTAACAGTTCCTAAGATGATTTCTGACTTGTACTCTGGGCACAAAACCATATCATTCCAGGGGTGTGTCATCCAGATATTTGTCCTTCACGTCCTGGGTGGGTCTGAGATGGTGCTGCTCATAGCCATGTCTTTGGACCGCTATGTGGCCATATGCAAGCCCCTTCACTACCTGACTGTCATGAGTCCGTGCATGTGCATTTTGCTTCTGTCTGGTGCTTGGGTTATTGGTCTCATTCACTCAGTGGTCCAGTTGGCTTTTGTTGTCCATCTGCCTTTTTGTGGTCCTAATGAAATAGATAGTTTTTACTGTGATCTTCCTTGGTTTATCAAACTTGCCTGCATAGACAACTACAAAATAGAGTTCATGGTTACTGCCAACAGTGGGTTTCTTTCCATGGGCACCTTCTTCTTATTGATTATCTCCTATATCTTCATCCTGGTCACCGTATGGAAACGCTCTTCAGGTGATTTGTCCAAGGCCTTCTCTACTCTTTTAGCTCACATAACTGTGGTGGTTTTGTTCTTTGGACCGTGCATCTTTGTTTATATGTGGCCATTTCCCACAGTGTCAGTGGATAAGTTTCTTGCCATTTTGGACTTTATGATAACACCCATCCTGAATCCTGCCATTTACACATTGAGAAACAAAGACATGAAGATGGCAATGAAGAGACTGAGTAGCCAGCTCCTGAGTCTGAGAAAAATCTCCTAGATAACATACAAGAGCACAAGTTACTTAGTGGGTTTTCAAGCCAATCAAGTGACACAAATGCTTAAATAATGGTACAAAATTCGGAAATTACCAATTACTCCAAGTGTTTAATGTATAGACCATCTTTTTTTTTTTTTAGATAATTTATTATACATACCTGTGGGGTAAAATGTTGATTTTCAGTAATTGTGTACAATATGTGATGGTTAGATCAGGATAGCTAGCTTATTCATCATTACAATACACAATCATTCTTTGTGTCTGTTAACCAATTCCTCATTGGCCCCCCCTTCCCCTTTCCACCTCTAGTAACCACGGTTCTTTTCCCTCTTTCCAAAAGTTATTAGACCAAGTATATTAATTGTTATAAATACAGGAGGCCAGAAAATCTGGATAGTTTTATACAAAGTCAATAATAACTTATGTTATTTCGTATTTGATTTCTCTGTGTGGACTATTTTTATGTACTTTAAGCCTTTTAAGTACAGACAGCATACATTTTTTTTGGAGTCTTTATGTTTAGTTCACAGATGACTTTGAAAAATTTGTGAAACCCATTCCACAGTACTCTAGTAACAAAACCACTAAAAATGTTGGTATTTTCCTCTTTTTATGGATTGGAACATTTTCTCATAAAAAGATAAATTAGCTCCCAGCATATTTATTCTTCTGATTCATTTGAAACAGAGTAGCCACACACTGCATGTTGAATTAGTTTTTGCGTTCACTACCTATGACTTACATTGAAAAATGCTTTGAATTACTCATCATAAAAGATGTACTCTTCTAAGTTTAATTATTTTTCTAAATTCACCATTTTGTAATATTCAGAATAGATTATTGACTATGAGGTTACATTGAATTATCACATTAACTCTCTGTTTTTGAAGTTTTGTGGCAACTGAGTTATAGTCCCAGGAAACGTTTACAGGTAGTTGATGAAAAAAACATACGGTATAGCCTTAGGATCTGCTGAAGGTATGACCTCAGATATCAGACCACCTGTCTTCAAATTAATCAACTCAGAGGTAATTCAAGTCAATTAACTTGGAGGTAACTAAGTTACTTAGAGGTATTCAAGTTAATTAATTTTGAAGATACTATGAAATACACAACTCTCCTTTGATTTAAACCTAGTACATGAATAATTAAATTTACATTTTGTTTGAAAGCCAAAAGGTGCATGAGAGAGAAGGATTTAAAATCTGGAGAAGGAAAGAACAGGGTGTAATAAGGTAAGTAAATAGAAGATAAATAGGAAAGTGTAAGAAGGGGGTTTGATGGAATAATTAAATTTACATTTTGTTTGAAAGCCAAAAGGTGCATGAGAGAGAAGGATTTAAAACCTGGAGAAGGAAAGAACAGGGTGTAATAAGGTAAGTAAATAGAAGATAAATAGGAAAGTGTAAGAAGGGGATTTGACTTATGGTAGAAGGAGAAACAAGAGGGAGAACCTCAGAAATAGTATGTTCTGTGGATGAGGATTGTGGCTCCTACACTTGCCCTTGCTCGTCTCAATTCCATTGGATTCAAGCCCTCTCCAGTTGATCTAGAGCAGGAAAATTTATGTGTAAGTTGTTTATATCAAAATTTTTGAAATTGTGACAATGTTTATGAATCAATCAGTGAATATTCTTTAAACATCAAATGGATGTTGATCTGATCATTTCATGGCAGATACTATTTTTGTTTTATTATTTTAATAAAAAAATAGTGTGTTTATAAAATAGTTTTCTTAATTAACCTTAGTTATTACTACAAATTATGTGGACTACAAAGTTACCCAAGTATACAATCTGCATAAAATTTTTTTTCTCATAAGAGTTTTACAGTTTTTTAAAAAATTTTAATTTATCAATATACAATGTAGTTGATTTTTGTGTCTCTTTATCAATTCCTCCTCTTCCCCCTCCGCCCCATCAACATCATATCTGTTCACTTGTCTTAACAAGTTCAAGGAATTGTTTTGATTGTTGTGTCTCCCCCCACCCAGTTTATTTGTTTGTATATTTATTTATTCACTTTTATTAGCTCCCACAAATAAGTGAGAACATAGGTATTTCTCTTTCTGTGCTTTGCTTATTGCACTTAATAAAATTTTCTCTAAATCCATCCATGTTGTTGTGAGTGGTAGTATTTCATTTTTTTCATAGCAGAGTAGTAGTATATTGTGTATATATAGCCATATGTCTCTGATAAATTTGGATTATTAACAATAATTGTATTACTAATTGATGCTAACTTCAATATAATTTTCAATTTTCATTTGAATATTTTAATCAAATTTTGCAGTTTTAAGACTAATTTTTCTTTATAAAAAGTATAATAATCTAATAGGGAGAATTCTGAATATTTAATGCTTTTCTGTTATAAAAAAGTTAAATTTTTTCCAGTTTTACTGATGTATAATTGATGAAATTGTATGAAATTAAGGTGTACGATTTGATGATGTGATATACATATATTTTGTGAAATAATTATTATAATCAAATTAGTTTACATATATATCACTCACTATGCTGTATATTAGATTCTCTGAACTTATTAATGTCATAACTAAAGTTTGTACCTGTTGTTCAACATTTCCCCTCCCCTGCAGTAAACACCATCCTACCCTCTGTTTCTATGAGTTCAACTTTTTGAGATTCCACATATAATGAGATCATGTAGTGTTTGACTTTTCTGTCTGACTTACTTAACTTAGCATAATGTCCTGAAAGTTCATCTATGTTATTGCAAATTGCAGAATTTCTTTATTTTTATGGGTGAATAAAATTACTCTGTATATACAAGTATATGCCACAATTTTAAAATTCTTTCATCCATTGAGGGACACTTAGGTTGCTTCCATATCTTGATTATTGTGAATAGTGCTGCTATACAGATATCTTTGTGTGGTGCTGATTTTATTTTCTTTTGATATGTACCCAGACGAGGGATTGCTAGGTTATAGGTAGTTCACTTTTTAAGTTTTTGAGAAATCTCCATACCGTTTTCCACAATGGTTGTATCAATTTACATTTCCACAATCAATGTAAAAGTGTTCCCTTTTCTCTACAATGTTACCAACACTTATTATCACTTGACTTTTTGATAATAGTGATGATTAGGTGTGTGGTGATATTTCACTATGGTTTTGATTTTCATTTCCCTAATGATTAGTAATGTTGAGCACCTTTTCATATAGCTGTTGGCCGTCTTTATATCTTCTTTGGAAAAATCTCTATTCAGGATTTTTGCCTTTTCAAAAAGCAGATATTTGTTTTCTTGCTATTGTTTTGTTTCTTACATACCTTGGATATTAACCACTTAGATAAATGATTTGCAAATATCATTTCCTGTTCTATAGGTTGCTTTTTTCATCTTGTTGACTGTTTCCTTTGCTGAACAGAAGCTTTTTAGTTTGATGTAGTCTAACATTATTTTTGCTTCTGTTGTTTGTGTTTTAGTATTATATCTAAACAATTTTTGCTTTCAACATTTTGGTTTTCCTATATTTTTTCCCAGTAGTTTTATGAATACAAAATCAACCCACAAAAATCGTTGCATTTCTGTACACTAACAATGATCTATCTGAAAAACAAATAAAGCAATCCCATTTAAAATAGCATGAAAATAGAATAAAATACTTTGGAATGTATTTAACCAAGGAAGAAAAAGTGCTGTACACTGAAAACTATAAAACATGGATAAAAGAAATGGAAGAGAACACAAATAAATGTAAAGATACCCATGTTCATGGATTGCAAGGAATAATATTGTTACCATGTCCATGCTACTCAAAATGATCTACAGGTTCACTGCAATCCCTATCAAAATTCCAACAGCCTTTTCACATAAATAGAAAAAACGATTCTAAAATTTGCATGGAATCACAAAAGACCCCCCCAGTAGCCAAAGGAATCTTGAGCAAGAAGAACAAAGTTAAAGGCATCACACTTCTCAATTTAAAATTATATTACAAAGCAAAAGTAATCGACACAATATGGTATGGAATAAAAACAGACACATAGACCAGTGGAACAAAAAGAACAGAAGCAAATCTAATCGTGTACAGTCAATTATTATTTGACAAGGGTGCCAAGAATACACGTGGGGTAAGGATAATATCTCCAATAAGTGGTGTTGGGAAAACTGGGTATCTACATGCAAAAAAAGTGAAATTGAATCCTTATCTCACACCATTCGTAAAAATTATTGCAAAATGTGTCATTGATGGTATTATACTACTCTTCTCAAATTCTTTGGTGACAAGTTTATTCTAGTAACTTGTCTTATATAACTTTTTCTTTTCTGCTCAAGACATGGGTCCCTTGTGCATGCACATTTGCATTCACACATGTATGTTGTGTTTTTGTGCATGTGTATATATCATCTTGGTAAATTGTGAAACTAATTTAATTTTCATTTTGCTTTGATAACTAGAAAACTGAACCAAAATCGTTGGTGAACTATGGGAGGATTCTTAGTCCTGCATATCTCTGATCCAAAATTCTTTCTGAATCATATTTATACATCATATTTATACTTTTCCTGATCATGATTATTTTGCTTTTAACATTTGTACTTGTAATAAATTCTTATTAGTTACATGAAATGAAAAAGGACATATATAAAGTCATTGTTCTGGTTTAGGAATTTGCCATATTTTTGAAGCTAATAGGAAAGGGGGAAAGAAGTTAAATTTCAAAGCTCAGTAATTTTGGAGAGCAAAACTGAATTCTGTGAAATAACTCATGTTGATGGGAAAGAGACCCATCAGAGTCCTAACCAAAACCTAGGAGGAAAAAGAAATCCAAAAACATATCTCATTTACAACAGCTACAAAAAAGTTAAATAACTATGAATAGATTTAATAAGGAGGTGAAAGATTTCTACAATGAAAACTACAAAGCACTGATGAAAGAAATTAAAGACACAAAAAGTGGAAAGACATTTCATGTTAATGGTTTGGAACAATTAATATTGTTAATGTGACCATACTACTCAAAGTGAACTACAGATTCTGTGCAATGCTTATCAAAATACCAATGACATTCATCACAGAAACAGAAAAAACAATTATAAAATTCATATGGAACTACAAAAGACCCTGAACAGCCAAGCAATCCTTAGAAAATAGAACAAAGCTGGAGGCAGCTCACTACTTGACTTCAAAATATACTACAAAGCTATAGTAGTCATAAAAGCATAGCACTGGCACTAAAACAGACACATAGACCAATGGAACAGAATAGAGAACCCAGAAATAAATCCACAGAACTACAGCCAACTGATCTTTGACAAAGGTACCAAGAAAATACATTGGGGAAAGGGCAGCCTCTTCAATAAATAATGCTGGGAAAACTGGAAATCTATATGTAAAAGAAAGAAATTAGATCCCCATATCTCACCATATACCAGAATTAACTCAAAATAGATTAAAGACTTAAATGTAAGACCTGAAACTATAAAACTGCTAGAAGAAAACACAGGACAAACACTCCAAGACATTGTTCTGGACAAAAATCTTATGGAGAAGACTTCAAAGGTACAGGCTACAAAAGCAAAAATAGATAAATGGGATTACATCACACTAAAATGTTCTGCACAGCACAAGAAACCATCAAGAGAGTGAAGAGGTAACCAGCAGAATGGGAGAAAATATTTGCAAACTATTCATCCAACAAGGAATTAATATCCAGAATACACATGGAACTTAACTCGACAGCAAAAAACCTCCAAATAATTTGATTTTAAAAAGGTCAAATATCCTGAATAGTCATTTCCCCACAGAAGACATACAAATATCCAACAGGTATGTGAAAAAATTCTCAACATCGTTAATCATCAGGGATATGCAAATCAAAACCACATTGAGATATCATATCACCCCAGTTAGAATGGCTATTATCAAAAAGACAAAAAAATAACAAATTCTGGCAAGGATGCAGAGAAAAGGGAACTCTCATATACTGTTGGTGTGAATGTAAATTAGTACTGCTATTATGGAAAACAGTGCAATGGTTCCTAAAAAAACAAAACAAAACAGATCTGAAAATAGAACTACCATCTGATCCAGCAATCCCACTGCTGGATATTTATCCAAAATAATGGAAATTAGCATCCGGAAGAGATATCTGCAGCCCCATGTTCATTGCAGCACAATTCAGAATAGTCAAGTTATGGAATCAACCTAGGTGTTCGTCACAGATGAATGAATAAAGAAAACGCGGTATATATGCACGATGGAATCCTCCGCGGCCTTAAAAAAGAATGACATTATGTCATTCGCAGCAATATGGTTGAGCCTGGAAGACATTATGTTAAGTGAAATAAGTCAGACTCAGAATGATAAATACTACATGTTCTCACTCATATGTGGGAGCTAAAAATAACAAGTATAACTTTTAAAAGTAGAGAGTGGAATTGTGGTTACTAGAGGCTGGTAATGGGAGTGGGGAAGGCTATAGGGAGAAGTTGATTAATGGATATAAAATTAATGCTAGATAGGAAAATAAGTTCTAGTGGTGTATAGTAGTGCTAGGCACCTATATAATTAATTGTATGTTCTCATATGGCTGTAAAAGAGGACTCAAATGTTATCACAAAGAAATGACAAATTTTTGTGCTTGTAATTATGCTTACCACCCTCATTTGATCATTAAGCATTGTATACATGTATTGAAATATAACTCTGTACCCCATTAATCTGTACAACAAACATATTTCAATTAAAAAAAATAACTTAAAAAACAAAACAAGACTCTGGAATGATCATATCCATATACATGTATTGAAATATAACTCTGTACCCCATTAATCTGTACAACAAACATATTTCAATTTAAAAAAATAACTTAAAAAACAAAACAAGACTCTGGAATGATCATATCCCGGGAGCAGGCATGAACCGGAAATGTACTGAGTCTTACAAAAACTATGATCCAGGCTCAAATCAGTTCAGTATTGATCATATCTGCACTCTCTATGCCTCATACAGGAAACAATAAATAGTGTGTCTGGAGGAATATATCATGTCAGAGCTCTGTGATCCTTTCATATAAGGTATCTAAAATACGTAAAATAATGATTAGACATGGAAAAAAGCAGGGGTGTATGACTCATAATTAAGAGGAAAAGAGTAAATAGGAGAAGACCACAGAAGTCTCAATTGTTGAAATTAGCAGAGAGTAGGAGTTTAAAATAACTCTTGTGTATTTTCTTTTATTTTGGTGCCTGGCCCTAATGGGGATCCAAATCCTTGACGCCAGTGTTGTAACACTATTCTCTAACCAACTGAGATAACCGGCCAGCCCATCTCTCATGTATTTTAAAAGGCATTGAGAAGTTGGAAAATGCATTAAAAAATGAGGAATTTTGACAGAGAAATGGAATATGTAGGAAAGAACAAAGTGATATTTTAGAACTGAAAACACATGAAACTGTGAATTTTTAAGCCTATTAGAACAGGCTTAAGAGTAGACTGGACACAGCAGATGA